TATATATATATATATATATATATATATCCATATATGTATATATATATATATATGCATGTATGTATGTATGTATATATATGCATGTATGTATGTATGTATATATATGCATGTATGTATATATATGCATGTATATATGTATATATATGCATGTATGTATATGTGTTTGTGTGTGTAATAAAATAAGAAAAACCCAATATATACACTGTATACAACCATAGAGTCAGATCCTGAAAGAATCATCACACAGAGGCAGGAAGACGGGAGATAAGGGGTTAAAATTACTAAGGCAGATTCACCAACACAACCTTCATAAGATCGTTGTTTGAGATGCCAGAATCAGTCTCAAGTGAGGAGGCAGATGTGCTGTCAGCTTCAAAGAGCATGTAGCTCTCATTCTCATAATCAGAATGGACACAATGCCTGATGTTTGTGAGGTGCAAGTATCTTTGGGAAAACTTAACTTCCTACACACCTATCTGTACAGTATTTATGTCTGAAAATACATACGTTAGTGCAATTACTCTTTATCGCGCTTTGTAATAATTACCTTTCGCAGTGTGTGATTTGGGGTGAGGTGGGGGTGGGGTAACCAAATATCTCATAAACTACTGGACAGAGTTTAGTAAAATGTTTAACAGATAATTACTGAATGTACATTTATCATTGATTAACTTTTTGAATCAACCCAGTTTAAGATGGCTGCTACAGTTGATCTACCTTTGCAAAACAAAAAAATTCCTATAACTCAGGCACTTTTACAGTGCATTGGATGTACATCTACAACTGAAGAATGTTTTGGGACAACATTCAAGATGGTCATCACAGCTAACAATCATAGATAAGAAAGAAAGGACTATAGCCCAATCAATTAAAAAATATTGAGCTAAAATCTGTTATATTAGTCATGGACGGTCATCCACAGCATATAGTTTGCGCTAACAGATTATGTGAAATTTTCTTTTAAACTTTGACATGCAAGATGGCCGGTGATTAATTAATTCCTTCCAACAAAAGTTCCAATTTTACTGTGCTAGTTTTGCTCCTAATTTTACGGTACTCATTTTTCATGAAGTATTTTTAGCATACAACATTATTTATAAAGCACTTAAAAACATCAACAAGGCCAAGGCCAAAGTGCTGTACAGAAAAACACATGTGATAAAATACATGAATCCACAGTAGAGCGGTCATTTCTAACTCGGGGCCCAGCCCCGCCCGACCCGAATTCAGACTTGGCCGGGCTATAAATTATGCTTAATGTGTGGGCTGGGTTGGTGTCTGGCTTTTTATTGCATCAGGGATGCGTGTAGCCGACAATCCAATATATGCAAACATGGCTTGCCATACTACACCTGCCACACGTGGCCATTTCATTGCGCGCTGACCGGCTGGTTGAAAGAGGTAAAAAGTTCAGTTAAGCTTCAGATGGACTACTGCCAGCGATCCATCAGCCCAAATGGACGTTCATTCAGCCGCTGCACTCAGCGGATGCACGCGGTACTCAGTGGACGTGCGCGACCGATGACACAAACAGGTGAGATCAAAAAATATCTGACATGTCAGAGCAGGGTCCAATGGAAGCAGAAGCAGGACAAGCATGTAAAGCGCTTTGATGGCTCCTCAGCTCCGATCTTCTGCCCCCTCAGCCACGCACGTTCACCGACCATTAATAATAGTCGGTGGAATAAGCAGTCAAAGCTTAATTAAAAATGTTGGGGGGGGGGGGGGGGGGGGGGTTGAGGATCGGACCTGTAATTACTGTTAATTCGTCAGTTTGGGTGGGGTTCAGAGATGATGGCTGCAGGCTGGGGCTGGGTTGGTTCGGATTATTTGGACCCAAGTACCACTCTAATCCATAGCGGTAAAGATAGCAAACCAAATGACTAGAATAAGAAAAACACAGAAAAATATTAAATATTTTGACAATTTGTTGCTGAATTAGTTGCTACACAGCTGTAACTCTTTCAACATCATCCTCACCAAGATGCAGCCTATGCCACTGAAACAATTCAGAACTGAGCTGATTCAAAGTCAAAGTGGGAAGACAAAACAGCTTCACTGACATAGTGAGAGAAACCTGACAGTGTTACAAACACACAGACACATGGACAGCACACCAACTCTAAAGTCTACTCTTTCCCTGCCGTCCTCCGTATGTAGCTTTGACAGGCATCAGTGTCAGGAGTGTGTAAGTGTCAGCCCAAGGTGTCAGTGTCCACACAAACAAGCCCGAGAAGTGGTGGGAGGGGGGGAATTAACAACAACAAACACAAGTCAGCCATTTTTTTTCACCCCTGCTCAAGCCTCCTCCTTCACCATCTGTGTCAGAAAAGCTGCGGGTGCCACCGCCGGCTAATAAGGCAATCAGAGATGGAAAAGATGCTGACACGGCAGCTTTCGAGCGTCACTCAGAACAAAAGAGGAAGCGGAGAAGGAGGGAGAGCGGTATGGGGAGGGGATTAAAACAGGAGGCTGGAGGGGAGGAAGGAGGGGGGGCAAAGTGTCTGTTGTGGTTGTCAGTCAAAATCGTGAGCCCACTTTGTGCTGTCAGTGAGGATAGCAAAAGAGAGGAAGTTCTGAAAAGAATGGGGAAAAAGATGTTTAGTTCTATGAACAAGAGATGTGTGTGAGTGTGTGAGCATCAAGCATATAAGCATCCATTCGTTGAAAACAATCTGAGCATCTATATAATACATACATTAAATACAATCAATGTCTGCCAGTTGAGCCCAAGTTTCTCTATATCCAAGGTGTGGCTGGTATGTTTTGTGTACTTGCATATGTGTGTGTCTAAAGTGTCACTGTGTGTCAGGTGCAAGCAGAGATGCAATGTGACTGGTAGAGTGGGGGGAAGCGAAGCCATCTGTGTCTGGAGAGGAGCCTGTCACTATTGTTGTGCCCAGAGTCCAGGATTTCCTGCTACAGACAGGTGACACCACAGTAGGACATCCCCCTGCCGGAGACACACATACACACAAATGCAAATATGCACACCTTTCCTCTTCAACTACATTCTTCCCTTAAGGAAGAAAGCTGTGTGGTATATATTTTTTTACATATTAGACATGAACAAATATAAAGTTAAATCAAGCAAGTGCTGATAAGAATGATTTCCTTTACATAAAAAATATTGCTTTGGCGATGCAACGCTCAAGTCGGCTACAACCTAGACATGCGGATTTTATTACAACTGAGAAAATGTTTATAAACTTATTAGTTCCATTTCAATAATAACAAAGTGCACATTTTAAGTACTTCAAGCACAACTTTACCTGCCAAACTGGGACAACTTGACAAGATAAACCCAACCTCTTTCCTCCATTCTATACAAAACACATACACTTTCCCCTTTAAGCCTTTTTCATTTATTCATGTTGTCTCAGAGACGAGGGCAATCCCCGCTCTCATTTGCAGTGCTAATGTCCAATTCCAGCAGCTTTCACCCCACTGATTTACCCTTCGCGCCGGACGCCGCATCTGCAGCAGGGCGGCTGGCGAGGCTCCCCCTAACAACGTTTAGCGGCCCTTCAAAGAGGGAGCTCTGGCGTAGCAGTCTTATTTCTTTCTCCCGTTTCGCTTTGTCACCGGTCCCTCC